ATACGTGTGAGAGTAATTACAAATGGGGATCGAGACAATGTTTGCACTAGCTCAGCCATTACACGTCCTTATTCAAACCGCAGTTGATTGTGTCTAGTTTGCATATCAATTCTAGCTCAGCAGTCTCTCTTTGGAGTCTGTTTTTGAAGTTTTTCTGTTGTAATATAGCCACCCGCAGGTCTGTCACTGAATGACCAGACAGGTTAATGTGTTCTCCCAGTGGTTTTTGAGTATTTTGATTCCTGATGTCAGATTTGTGTCCATTAATTCTTTTGCGTAGAGACTGTCCGGTTTGGCCAATGTACATGGCAGAGGGGCATTGCAGAAGCATAGCATAAGTTTGCCATACAGACAGTATAGAGCCAATATTCATAACTTCAACTACATCACTGATACACACATATAGACAGCATAATTATAACCAGTAAACCGTAACCTTGTCTTAGACACCCCATTTGACCCCCTCTATACACGATTTGGGTGCCACTACAGGACCTTGGTTGCAACAATGATCTATATGGTCCCAGATTATATCAATAACGTCACACCCCCAACACAAAATTGATGCAGGAAGGGATGACACAAACATCACTGACTGCATCCCAAGAGCTCCCCATCCTTGGGTCTGTCTCACTATGGCTAGTATTGGGTTAGAAGCCGTACCAGTGTATAACAGAAATGGTTTATCAAAGTCATGTTCAATAACAGGTTTCAGAGTAGCAGCCGTGTTAGTCTGTATCCGCAAAAAGAACAGGAGTCCTTGTGGCACCTTAGAGACTAACACATTTATTAGAGCATAAGCTTTCGTGGACTACAGCCCACGATATGCATCCGAAAAAGTGGGCTGTAGTCCACGAAAGCTTATGCTCTAATAAATTTGTTAGTCTCTAAGGTGCCACAAGTCCTCCTGTTCTTTTTATATTCAATAACATGATTGAATCTCTTCACAAACTCAAGGTAAAACTTAGTTAGAACAATAGTGGATTGGATCTGGTCTCAGGGCCGCCTCCAGCGTTTTTGCCGCGGTGAGGAGAGAAAAAAAAAAAGCCGCGATTGGCGGCACTTCGGCGGCTGCTGTACCGCGCCGCTTCATTCTTCGGCGGCAATTCAGCGGCG